ATATATTTTCAAAAAAACTAAAAATAAATACCAGTAATTAACACATAATAGTTTACTGTAACAAACAAATATAAAATGTGTGTAAATTAATAAATTATTATTAGGATCGATCGGTCGATGGTCGTGCTATTATAATTTTGACTAGGAAGCACCAATTGACTAAAACTCCTTACAAAATTATTTACAATATTTCTTGCTTTGTGGCTAATAAAATTTAGCCAGTAAAACAACTTCGGTTACATAAACCATATTAGTGTTACGAAACATTTTAAGTTGACTACTGTACAAAGAACTAACAAAAAACTTTTTGAGCGATATCGAAATCAGTTCAAGCCTTATTAAGAAGCAATAATAACTATTATAACAATCGAAAAATCTAAGTCTAATTGTATTACTGAAAAATTAATAATCACTTTTGAGAAAAAAAATACACCTTCCACCATAAATTATAAATGTTTTTTTGTTTATGCTCAAATATATTATTATAAAATACATTTATATGGAATATCGTGTTACCTTAGTGTTAAAGGGTATAAGTTGAATAATTACAATAACAATTCCGACACGTTAATGCATCCAATACAAGTGTTATTTCAAAGCAAAATTCGGTGGTAATCTTAGATATATTTTGTAAATATTTTTTTTTCTTCGTCACGAATTACGAGCTGCGGAAATTTAATTGTTCACGCCACTAAGCGTCAATCGGCATTCTTTCAATATTTTTCTTGTACCTGTGTGAAAAAAGAACAATAATTAAATTAAATGTTATGAAAACCAGCTATCAAAGAGGAATGTACTCACTCGAGCGTTTTTCAGCGTGATGAACTCCAAAATAAAAATATCCGCAATAGAATTTTTTTTATATAGAATAGGGTGACAAACGAGCACACAGTTCACCTGATGGTAAGTTGTTGCTGTGACCCATAGACATGTACATTTATCCTCAATAAAGAATCAAATAGCAGATGCGTTGTCACCAGTGAGGACTAAGATGGATTGCCTCTTTTCCAGTAAAAAAGTTCTCCGGTTCTCTACACTCACCATAAGAAACAAAGCAATGTTCAGCTGCTATTTTACGCTGGTATTCTGTGAGAGTGTGGCCCTTCCCCGGTCGAGCCAACCCATTCGTGCTGCAACTATACTACCAATATAGCTGGAGCATGGCTCTACCACGTATAAAACTAAATGTAACCGAACCGACAAAGAACAAAGAACAGAAAGTTGAAATGATAATTGCCGACCTAAAACACATCTTCTCTCCTCTCTGTTTTGGCGGAAATCCACCCAAGAGCGAACAAAATGAAGCTTTTAATAAAATGTAAAACCTAAAAACCCACTTCAAATAACTGTAATTAATAAAATCATTTCAGCGTACTACTTTCTGAGTTGGTGCTAAGTATTTTTTTAATAGAAGATACTTTATCTTCTATTTAAAAAAATACTAAGAAAATTACTAAGAAGTTTTAAAAGCTATGTGGAAATGATTTTTTTAATATAGTTGCTCAAAAAGTGGCGTATTGCAGGGACGTATAGCGTTCGGGATGTGGGCTATTACATACTCGTGCTTTTTCTTTACCTTTTCCGAACTCGTGCGTTCTCCTTCCAAACTGTCAAAATAATGTCTATTAAAAAGAAAATACCAACCACGAAGTTTTCACAAAAAAATCATAGAAGTTTTTATGATTCATGCAAATATTTCTAAAAAGAAGCTACTAATTTGTTTCAATATCAGGTTTAATGATTTGATTCAATGAGTTAGGTTAGGTTTCATTTCATTCATCTCATTAAATTTAATTTTCATTTCATATTCAATAAAAAAATTCTACTGAAGACTTGGCTGTATGGGCATAATTCCCTTTGCCTACCCAGAATGGGTGAAGAAAGCAAAACAAAATTCTGGTATTAAAAATAGTTGTTCAGTACACGTGCGGAACCGTCATTGCAACTTGTTCCGACTGTCTATTGTCGGAACTCTTTGCAATGACAGGTTTTCCGCACTCGTAATGAAATATACTATATCATTTTTACTAGACTATTAAAATCGCTTCACAAATGGCGAAGATATCGCGTAAACAAACGTACAAAAAAAACAATCAGCTATTATATATTTTATATTTTTTACAGTTAGCTATTTATATTATTCAGTAGGTATGGGGTGTTCGGCTGCAGCGCCGGCAGCTGTTAGTCTGTACTCAGTATGCACCGGGCGCTCAGCAGCAGCGCGGGCGACTGATAGTCAATACTCGTACGTACCGGGCTCACAGCTGCAGCGCAGGCGTCTCTTAGTCAGTGCTCAATACGTACCGGGTGCTGCACTAGAGCGCGGGCGACGGGCGGCGGCGCGGCGTGCACGAGGCGGTGATGCGCCTCGGAGCCGGTGAGCGCGGCCACGGTGACGCCGGCGCGGTACGTACCGGCCGCTGCACTAGAGCGCGGGCGGCGGCGCGGCGTGCACGAGGCGGCGGTGCGCCTCGGAGCCGGTGAGCGCGGCCACGGTGACGCCGGCGCGGTACGTACCGGCCGCTGCACTAGAGCGCGGGCGGCGGCGCGGCGTGCACGAGGCGGCGGTGCGCCTCGGAGCCGGTGAGCGCGGCCACGGTGACGCCGGCGCGGTACGTACCGGCCGCTGCACTAGAGCGCGGGCGGCGGCGCGGCGTGCACGAGGCGGCGGTGCGCCTCGGAGCCGGTGAGCGCGGCCACGGTGACGCCGGCGCGGTACGTACCGGCCGCTGCACTAGAGCGCGGGCGGCGGCGCGGCGTGCACGAGGCGGTGATGCGCCTCGGAGCCGGTGAGCGCGGCCACGGTGACGCCGGCGCGGTACGTACCGGCCGCTGCACTAGAGCGCGGGCGGCGGTGCGGCGTGCACGAGGCGGCGGTGCGCCTCGGAGCCGGTGAGCGCGGCCACGGTGACGCCGGCGCGGTACGTACCGGCCGCTGCACTAGAGCGCGGGCGGCGGCGCGGCGTGCACGAGGCGGCGGTGCGCCTCGGAGCCGGTGAGCGCGGCCACGGTGACGCCGGCGCGGTACGTACCGGCCGCTGCACTAGAGCGCGGGCGGCGGCGCGGCGTGCACGAGGCGGCGGTGCGCCTCGGAGCCGGTGAGCGCGGCCACGGTGACGCCGGCGCGGTACGTACCGGCCGCTGCACTAGAGCGCGGGCGGCGGCGCGGCGTGCACGAGGCGGCGGTGCGCCTCGGAGCCGGTGAGCGCGGCCACGGTGACGCCGGCGCGGTACGTACCGGCCGCTGCACTAGAGCGCGGGCGGCGGCGCGGCGTGCACGAGGCGGCGGTGCGCCTCGGAGCCGGTGAGCGCGGCCACGGTGACGCCGGCGCGGTACGTACCGGCCGCTGCACTAGAGCGCGGGCGGCGGCGCGGCGTGCACGAGGCGGCGGTGCGCCTCGGAGCCGGTGAGCGCGGCCACGGTGACGCCGGCGCGGTACGTACCGGCCGCTGCACTAGAGCGCGGGCGGCGGCGCGGCGTGCACGAGGCGGCGGTGCGCCTCGGAGCCGGTGAGCGCGGCCACGGTGACGCCGGCGCGGTACGTACCGGCCGCTGCACTAGAGCGCGGGCGGCGGCGCGGCGTGCACGAGGCGGCGGTGCGCCTCGGAGCCGGTGAGCGCGGCCACGGTGACGCCGGCGCGGTACGTACCGGCCGCTGCACTAGAGCGCGGGCGGCGGCGCGGCGTGCACGAGGCGGCGGTGCGCCTCGGAGCCGGTGAGCGCGGCCACGGTGACGCCGGCGCGGTACGTACCGGCCGCTGCACTAGAGCGCGGGCGGCGGCGCGGCGTGCACGAGGCGGCGGTGCGCCTCGGAGCCGGTGAGCGCGGCCACGGTGACGCCGGCGCGGTACGTACCGGCCGCTGCACTAGAGCGCGGGCGGCGGCGCGGCGTGCACGAGGCGGCGGTGCGCCTCGGAGCCGGTGAGCGCGGCCACGGTGACGCCGGCGCGGTACGTACCGGCCGCTGCACTAGAGCGCGGGCGGCGGCGCGGCGTGCACGAGGCGGCGGTGCGCCTCGGAGCCGGTGAGCGCGGCCACGGTGACGCCGGCGCGGTACGTACCGGCCGCTGCACTAGAGCGCGGGCGGCGGCGCGGCGTGCACGAGGCGGTGATGCGCCTCGGAGCCGGTGAGCGCGGCCACGGTGACGCCGGCGCGGTACGTACCGGCCGCTGCACTAGAGCGCGGGCGGCGGCGCGGCGTGCACGAGGCGGCGGTGCGCCTCGGAGCCGGTGAGCGCGGCCACGGTGACGCCGGCGCGGTACGTACCGGCCGCTGCACTAGAGCGCGGGCGGCGGCGCGGCGTGCACGAGGCGGCGGTGCGCCTCGGAGCCGGTGAGCGCGGCCACGGTGACGCCGGCGCGGTACGTACCGGCCGCTGCACTAGAGCGCGGGCGGCGGCGCGGCGTGCACGAGGCGGCGGTGCGCCTCGGAGCCGGTGAGCGCGGCCACGGTGACGCCGGCGCGGTACGTACCGGCCGCTGCACTAGAGCGCGGGCGGCGGCGCGGCGTGCACGAGGCGGCGGTGCGCCTCGGAGCCGGTGAGCGCGGCCACGGTGACGCCGGCGCGGTACGTACCGGCCGCTGCACTAGAGCGCGGGCGGCGGCGCGGCGTGCACGAGGCGGCGGTGCGCCTCGGAGCCGGTGAGCGCGGCCACGGTGACGCCGGCGCGGTACGTACCGGCCGCTGCACTAGAGCGCGGGCGGCGGCGCGGCGTGCACGAGGCGGCGGTGCGCCTCGGAGCCGGTGAGCGCGGCCACGGTGACGCCGGCGCGGTACGTACCGGCCGCTGCACTAGAGCGCGGGCGGCGGCGCGGCGTGCACGAGGCGGCGGTGCGCCTCGGAGCCGGTGAGCGCGGCCACGGTGACGCCGGCGCGGTACGTACCGGCCGCTGCACTAGAGCGCGGGCGGCGGCGCGGCGTGCACGAGGCGGCGGTGCGCCTCGGAGCCGGTGAGCGCGGCCACGGTGACGCCGGCGCGGTACGTACCGGCCGCTGCACTAGAGCGCGGGCGGCGGCGCGGCGTGCACGAGGCGGCGGTGCGCCTCGGAGCCGGTGAGCGCGGCCACGGTGACGCCGGCGCGGTACGCCGCGGGCACGCGCACGTGCCGCGCCCGCCCACCGCGCTCTGTCCATCCACGCGCGCGCCACTCACGGATCACGTTTACCACCTGGCCTGCAACGAATTTCTGATTCATCATCATCATCATCATTACAGCCCTTCACCAGCCCTCTGCAAAAATCAAAAACAATCTTAAAATCCTAGTAACAATACGTCTCCTTTATTAACTCCTTCTTACATTACAAAAGCACAATCCTGAGCCACCTGCATCCATCGACTGCCTACATTAATTAACAGGCCGTCAATCCATCTAGTAGTTCGTCACTCCGACAAGAGACGGAGAAGAAAGATTCTCAGTGGCAACCCCATACTAGTAAGCGAAGTGCAGAACTAATGCCCCTAAATGCCCTCCACTAATTTCTTATTATTATAGGTCCAAATAATGGTTGAAACATTGTCGTAACTTCGTGTCAAGGACTAGGGGTGGGCGTTGCGACGACGAACCGTTTACAAAGACCGTATTGTGTTCTGCTACGATGAATCCGTTTTACGTCCTAGGTTCAAACAGTCTTCGTTGCACAAACCAGTCTTCGAATTACTTGGTGCGATTTTCTATTTTACGCCTATGGAAATATAGTCGAGAACGCAATGATTCAACTATCTATCTCTCTCGTCGCGTGGTCGTCCTTAACGTTCCGCGTTATATTGTAGTCTTTGGTTTCGCGTTCATATACATACGTAGACTTAGTTGTAAGAAACTGCAACCATTTCACTCGACGAAAACGCAATTCTATATCTATTTCATGTTGGATAAGTTTCGTTCTTTAAGCCGTCTTTAAACCTGTTGCAACGACGACCATTTTCTGCAACCGTTTTCGTCGTCGGGAAAACGGTTGCGTTTCGTCCGTTAAAAATTCGACAACGGCCCATCAAGAGGACCAGTGATGGGACTATAATCGCCAATCATTTTTATCATTCTTATCATTTTTTTAAAAAATAATGTTACCCCCACACTAGGATTTTGTGGGGAAAATCCACTGCCTCCAGGCAGTTTACAAATATAAATTGCACGAGGACAAACATCCAGACCCGGAACAATGAGGGCTAATAATCTTCCACTCACCAGATGTCGCTAGTTGTGACTGAGGTAAAATTTTTTTGTTACACAATGTCAGTTAATTGAGAAAATAGTTTTAAATAATAGTTTATCATTATCTAGAGTATTATATTAATACACAACACAATGCGTCAGTGGTTTGATTTTTTATTTTTTGCACATTATAACTTTTTTTTTAAAAAGTCGTCTTTTAGTTATATTTATAGTTTGGTTTATTCATTTCTAATGTAATTAATATAAAATATAACTAATAATACATAAAGAAACCTTAAAGATTACATTTTCCTAAGAAATTATCATCCCTGCTATGAAATCTGTCAAATATTTTACCTTACTCTAAAGTGGCGCCGCCCTGGTGGCAGAAAAAGTCGTGGATGCCCTCATTATTTGTAGGCCATACAAATACTTGTTCCGTACGGGATTCGAACCCGCGGCCCCCAGCGTAACAACTCATTACTAAGCCACTGCGCCACGGAGCCGTCAAATCAATCAAAAAAATCAACAGTCACGAGAGATAAAAACTATTGCTAAATTCAATTGTGCATGCCTTAAGCGCATTAAAAAAATACTGTAACATGTTTATACGGATTTTTTTTAAAGTAGTTTAAATACACACAAGTTTTCATTAATAGCATTATAATAATGTTATTAATGAAAACTTCCAATTTTCCAATAATTTTATGTCAAACTACAATTTAAAAAAAAGTTTGCAAAATTCAAAAGTCCACGACTCATAATAATGCTCATATTATGATCATCATGTCACTCCATAACGTCGAAGACGTATTTAAGTATACAAAATATACTTAAATATATAAATCCAACTTGCTTTTAGTACGTACTACGTAGTACTATTATTTATTCGGTCCTTTTAAAATATTGTATATAAATATAAAAACTCTGATTATTATAATAATCAAGTATGTATGAAATTTGTTTTTTCGAAAATTTTGTATTTGTAGAGCGATCTTTTTGAGCCGCTGAAAACAACCGATACAATATACACTCACGACGGCGGTTGACGCCGAAGTGAATGAGTGAGGCAGTCTATTTAGTAAAATAAATTAATACAAGTCGATTAAAACACTGAAAATTTCGACATTTCGCAGCCGAAAAAAATTAGTTATAACTAAACAAAACAAAATTAAACTGTTTTTACATTTACATTCCATGGCTTCCCACATGATATATGAAGAGATTAAAAAGTAGACTGAGTTAAAGAATTAATATTTTCATAATTTAAAATTTTGTACAGCCGACTTCAATATAAGTTATTAAAAATAACTCGAACACTATTGCTCTGACCTTGATCATTCACACGGGACGTGGTAGGGCCTATTGACTTTTCAAACGTTTTCAACACAGTAGATCATGGTATCCTGCTATCTATCCTCGAAGACCTTAAATTTTCATCCTCAGCTTTCGAGTGGTTCTTTTCTTATATTCGCGGCCGCCAGCAGTGGGTTCGTTTAGGTCAGCGTTTTTCTGCATGGGCTGAAACTGAATCTGGTGTGCCACAAGGCGGAATACTTTCTCCTATTATGTTTTCCTTTTTTATAAACACTATCTTCTCAGTTTTAGATTGTTCATACCATCTGTATGCGGATGATCTTCAGCTCTATATGCAGTCAGACTTAAATAATCTTAACTTTGTAATACATAAACTAAATAATAACCTGGAGGCCATAAGAGAATGGTCGTGTAAATATGGCATTTCAGTTAATCCAGCCAAATGCAAAGTCATAATCTTCGGAAGTTCACAATTATTGGCTAAGATTGATTATGGAAATCTCTCTCCTGTAATTTATAATGGAACTTTGATTCCATATTGTGATTCCATAAAAAATCTTGGCTTGTATATGTACAAAACAATGACCTAGAAATTGCAGATCTCTGAAGTAAGTCGTAAAGTTGTTGCCACTTTGCGTTCCCTTTATCGTCTTAAAATTTTCCTACCTTTCAAAACCAAGCTTACGCTTGTTCATTCCCTCATACTACCTATTATAGATTATGCAGATGTATGTTACCCAGTGTTTAGGCCAAACAATTAACATTTGAAATTTGCATTCAACACTCGTGTCCGCCCGCTGACGTTGTAAAGGTCACCGTCGCCCCACTCCCGTGTGCGTCACTCGGCAGAGGGCGCGGGCGCAGAACGCGAGTGCGAAGTCGGTAGCTTGACAGCAGCGGCGCTGTCGATTAGCGAATTTTTCTGACCGCTAAATCGGTTTCGCGCGATCCGTTTTTTTGGTTTTGGGGTCTAGAATTTGAGTACTTGTGCGCGTTTAATTTGCTATTGAATTTGGGGTTTCGTGCAGACCGCCTCGAATTAGATTGTCTAAGTTGTATGTTCGTGATAAGAGGCTTGTATTGAATTTGACTGATTAAAGTAATTTCGTTTGAAAGTAATTGCGTCAATTGTATAGTGATTGCGTGTTGAAGTGCATTTGCAATATCTAACTTGCTTGTGTGACGTGGAACCTTGCGCGCACGCCGAGTAGAGATACAGTCTAGAATTTGAAGCTCGCATTTCATTTCGAGGGCGTGGCCCGGTTAATTGTTTTTGGAAGTTAAAGTTGATTTGTGACGTCGCGTTAAGTGCCTTTTGTGTGTTGACTATGTAGTTAGTTTGCGTGTCAGCTTGGCTGATTTTGAGTCTTAATGCGGGCGTAGTATTTAATATCGTACGAAGGAATTTAGTTTGTTGTTTGTAACGCGGAACTTTGTGACCCTAGAGAAGGTCGCGTTCGGTTCTAGAAATAATTTGTTGCTGAGTGAAAACGGAAGTGAACTTTGATCCACCGTTCATGAGTCGTGCCGTGTGTTACGTTTTTAATGACGATTAACGGGGATTAACAGGGATTTAGTTGAGTTTGAAGTTAGTTAAATGTACAATAAAGTTGATGGATTGAAATAGTGTACAATAAAATTGATAGACTGAAATAGTGAAATGAAGAAAGAAGTTGTCAATTGGTGACGTCCGCTGGAGTGATACAACATTGTGGGGCAGCATCGGACCAGGCCGCTGCCCGATCACCTCAGTTAGGTCAGGTCACATATATAAACACTACTGCACACCACTTACATGTACCTACACCTACCTACCGCCTGACCGAGCCTTGGGGCAGTCTTAGCTTCGGAAACAGGTACGTACTATTTGTTTACCTAGCCTTATATCTATTGTGTAGAATGATAAGTCTCCATAGGCCGTTGGGCCCCGTCCCTTGTTGGCCGTCGATGGGATTACTCATGGGCCCTAGTCCCGTCCACCTTTGTTGGGGCAGCTAGGGGCGTATACACCCAGATTTGTCACAAAATCTTCTAAACAAGTTGGAGCGCCTTCTTAATAATTCCATAAGGTTTATTTTCGGTTTACGTAAGTATGACCACATATCTTCCTATCGTTCAAAGCTTAAGTGGCTACCTATATATACGTCAAAGGCGATGCTCTAGAATTTTACTTGTACTTTATTCAATTTTAAACGATCCAAGGTCACCTTCTTATCTTAAGGATAACTTTCATTTTCTTCATTCGATTGACGGTCGAATACCACGACAATCAAACCGTCTGAGAATAAGGTTTCCACAGCATAGGTCTAATTTTTTCAGGTCCTCTTTTACGATACAAACTATACATCTTTAAAACACCCTCACCGTTGATATTAAGAATGCTAAAAATAGAAACTCCTTTAAATTACTTCTACGACAACATTACCTGAGGGCACTTACTAACTGACATATTTTTTTTATATTTATTTATTTATATATTAATACAGATATTTACTTATAAAGTTTATAAGCATGTATACACATTACATATTATGTATGTATGTATTATTGTATTGTTGTATGTAAATATATGTTATATATATTTAAATATATGTTGTGTATGTATGTACCATGTATATATTATATTTTAATATAAATACACTTTATTTATGTATTATGTTGAGGACCTGCCTACAATAGTCTTTGGCACCCAGGGTTGACTGGCAGAGAATGCCATATGGCATTAAGTCCGCCCTATTTACCCTTCACCTTAAGATGTTACATTTAAGTTTTTAAATAAATAGAAATAAATTCATCATCATCATCATTACAGCTCTTCACAAGTCCACTGCTGAACATAGGCCTCCCCCAAAGAATGCCACAAAGCACGGTCCTGAGCCACCTGCATCCATCGACTTCCTGCATGTCTTACCAGGTCGTCACTCCATCTCGTGGGGGGACGCCCTACACTTCACCTACCGGTACGAGGCTGCCACTCGAGAACCTTTCTTCCCCATCGGTTGTCGGTTCTTCGAGATATATGGCCGGCCCACTGCCACTTCAGCTTACTAATCTGTTGGGCTATGTCGGTTACTCTGGTTCTACTGCGGATATCCTCATTCCTAAGTTTATCACGCAGAGAAACTCCGAGCATAGCCCTCTCCATAGCTCGCTGAGCGACCTTGAGCTTCCTCATACGGCCAGCAGTGAAGGACCACGTCTCAGTTCCATAAGTCATCACTGGCAACACGCACTGGTTGTACAATTTCGTTTTCAGATTTTGAGGTATGTCTGACGAGAAGATGTGTCGTAGCTTCCCGAACGCTGCCCAGCCGAGTTGAATCCGTCGATTGACCTCTCGGTCGAAGTTGGACTTACCTAGTCGGACTATTTGTCCCAGGTAAACATAATCGTCAACAACTTCGAGCTTAGTGCTCCCAACAACTACCGGCATAGGTGTGACATGGACATTGAACATGATCTTTGTTTTGTCCATGTTCATCTTAAGACCTATCCGTTGGGAAACACTATCGAGGTCATTGAGCATAGTGCTTAGGTCCTCCAGCGATTCTGCCATAAGGACTATATCGTCGGCAAATCGAAGGTGAGTGATGTACTCGCCATTGATGTTGATACCGTATCCTTTCCAGTCCAGAAGCTTGAAAACGTCTTCCAATGCAGCAGTGAAGAGTTTCGGGGATATGACGTCACCCTGTCTTACACCTCTCTGCAATTGGATAGGTTTCGTACTCTGGTTCTGTACTCGGATAGCCATCGTAGCCCTACTGTACAAGCACTTCAACACTTCGATATACCGACAGTCAACTTGGCACCGCTGAAGGGACTGCAGCACCGCCCAAATTTCGACGGAATCAAAGGCTTTCTCATAATCCACATACGCCAGACATAGTGGCAAATTGTACTCTTCGGACTTCTGTACAATTTGCCGAAGGGTATGTATGTGGTCTATGGTGCTAAAGCTCTTTCGGAAACCGGCTTGTTCGGGAGGCTGGAAGTCGTCAAGTCTGCGCGCGAGACGATTCGTAATGACTCTCGAAAACAGCACGTAGACGCGGCTCAGAAGGGAAATCGATCTGTAGTTCTTCAAGAGAGCGTTGTCACCTTTCTTGAAGAACAAGACCACCGCACTTCTGCTCCACGCCTCCGGTGTAATGCCACCATGGAGGACGGAATTAAAGAGCTTCTGAAGGACTTCAAGTACCGGTTTTCCACCCGCTTTCAGAAGCTCCGCTGTAATTCCATCCTCGCCTGGGGCCTTACCGTTTTTAAGGTGCTGGAGAGCCATTCTAATCTCGCTCAGACTGACGTCCAGGATATCTTCGGAATAGTGTCGGATGAGACTCGCTCTTGGATCGTTACTCACACTTGCGTGTGACTCCAACGATGACGTGTACAGCTGCCCATAGAACCTCTCAATCTCACTCAAAATCTCAGGTGTCCCGGAAACGATGCTGCCACATTCTGTCTTCAGCTTTGACAGGTGGCTCTTTCTGGCAGACAGATCTCTGGCAAAGACTTTGGAGCCTTGGTTCCGCTCGATCGCTTCTTCAATACGAGCTGTATTGAAGTTGCGTAAGTCCCGCCGCATGCATTTGGAGATCTGTCTGTTCAGATGCTTGTATGCTGTCAAGTCTGTTGAAGAATGTAGCTTCATCTCCCGTCTAACAGCCATGAGATTAAGAGTGTGATCGGAGAGCTTTTGTGTTCTTCTGCGGCGGGTCTTGCAGAACTTAGCTCCGACCGCATGGACAGTTTCCACGAGCTTGTCATTCATATCGTCCAGAAATAAATTACTTTGCTTTATTAAAAAATATCAATTTTATACAAATAAAATATATGTTGCGATATGGTGGCGGAGTAAAATAAACAATCGCGTCATTTCATCTCGTGGATTTCGTGAAATTCAAGTTTGGAAAAGGCCAGATAAACCTTGTGACCTCCGATATTACACCATCTTATCAATCAATAAAATTAATCAACAAGATCAATAAAAACTTCCGGGCCGGCGATGGAGAACAGCATCAAAGGTGTGAGAATAAAATAAAGAAATAAAAACCATATACTCCAAGTGTTAGCTAAATAAAATTAGAAAATAATGGATAAGAGGTTTTTTTTTTTCAGAGATATAAGACAAGGGGAGCCCCTATCTCCAAAACTATTTATAGTATTTTTCGAAGATATCTTTAGAAATCAAATTGGAAAAATATAAGCCTAATACATTTAAAATTTGCAGATAATATAGCTCTTTTTAGTATAATTGCTTTTGATCTAGTAGCATTGTGTAGTCAAGCACTAGATAAAGAAATCCAAAGAGTAGGACTACACGTTTGTACTGTAGTCCTACTCTTTGGCGTTTTCTTACTTTTTACTTTATTGTCAATGGCCGCAAAACCAAAATAACATCCTACGGTCTTCAAAAACCATATAATAAAGAAGGAAATCTCATAGAATATGTGAATAACTATGTGTACCTTTGAACACAAACAGAAAGGAAAATGAAATTAATAGAAAGAAGAATATGTAAATATAACATGGGAAAAATACTGGGGACAAAATTTTTAAAGATTATAGTCTGATATTGAATAAACTATAATGGATTCTTTAATATACTCGTGGATTTTTTATGTATATTTCTATAATGCTTTCACGCAAGAATTATACAAAAACTTGAACACTGATCTAACTAATCCTAATTTTATACACTTATAGACTAACACTCATTTGAAATTAAAATAAAAAAATTGGTATCGTCAAATAAAGCCATAAATAAATAAATAAAAGAAAAAATATAGTTAACTTACCAAGGACATTAAAAGTATGGAATCTTCGATCTGGTACGGCCATGAGTGGTGTCAAATCCGTGTTGGCAGTAAACCTTGACAGTATATCCCTAGTCCGTACTAACAGGACAGAAGGCGAAGTGAGCCGCGGCCATAATGTGGTCTCTGGTACGCACTCCACGGGATTACAAAGGTAAACCCCACGTGGGGAAACACCGAACACCATCTGATGATGCCAGGCATCGGGAATCTCACCATCACATCCCACTTGTAAATTTAGAGTGAGTATAGGTACAGCGCCTAAAATACAAATTAATATAAATATCACTTTATTTAATAAAAATTTCGTCAAGAAAAAAAATCTAATCTAACCACAGTATCATTAAAAAAATAATTATTTACCAAGAGATATCCAATCAGCTAGCCAATGGGACAAAGAAACAGCCCGTTCAGGATACATGGGAAAGAACCGAGCCGTTACTAGCCCATCCGAAGCTCTTTGAATACCGTTCACTAAATCTGCAGCAGTACAACCTGCCACAGCACGCGATAATAAGTACCTGAAAATGTACAAACAATAAAGCAATGAAACAATCAGTTGGTCTAATAAAATTGTAGTAATATTTAATCTAATTGTAACGTAGCTCACGCTGACATGATTCCATTACAGTTGAAAGACGCCAGTATGAGTAAACACGTCTGCCCAATGTATTAAGTATTGGCATACCTTCAAGAAACATGCAAACTAAGAAATTCTTGGAAACCTCTGTCTAACAGTGGACTTACACTTTGGAAGAAGCTGGCACTGGAGTACCCTAGCCCTGAGATGATAACAGGTTCCGTGTGAGGTCAAACTTGCGCCTTATTAAGTTGCGAGCGGTGTACACGGCATAAAATACTGTTCCGCTCTACTGAGCACGACAAGATTTTTAGAGGCCAATTTGACTTTCCCTTATAAGTGACCGCAAAACTGAACGTCCCTCGATACATCGACGCCGATAATTCCGATGTTGGCTAAGGCAACAAGGGGAGTGTCCTGAAATACAGGAGATACAACAAAAGGGTTCCTTTTGCCCGTAATCGCATCGCCAGTACTTTCGTCGGCATCACAATGAATTATACTATTATGCAACATATCACCGATATGCAAAATAAATAGAGTAGGCGATAGCACGTAGCCTTGTGGAACACCTGCGTTCACAGGCTTTAAGTCTGAGCATGCAACGTCGACTATGTCCTTGATGAAAAGTATTTTATTACTATTCGTTATATACTTACTTGAAAAGTAAGATTACGCTATTTAAATGTAAATGAACCGAACCCGCGGTCTGCAGAGTCGTAATTTAAGGCTGCACTGCACCGTCAAATTAATGTTTTTTTTTTTTTGTAATGATATTTCCTTTTATTTATTCATCTGAACTTCATTGTCGTAGAAAATATAATTTATTTTAATTTATCCATTAACTACTTAAAACAACGATGAACGCGCAACCCTGCATTTTCTGAGTGTTAAACTGGGCTAGATTTAGTTGCCCTCAATTCGAGACTTTAATAAAGACTCGATAAATATTAGAACAATCGATGTATAAATCATCGCCAGTGCAGTTGTCAACATAACAATGAATGTTACTATTATGCAACATAAAAATGATATGCAAAAGGAATATTGTAGGCGATAGCACACAGCCTTGTGGAACTTAGGATTGAGTCCGAGAATGCAGCGTCGACTACAACCTTTTATGATAAGTATTTCAATACTATTTTGTTCTATCCTTACATGAAAAGCAAGATGAGCAAAGTTTCACATGTATAACAAAAATCTATAATAAATAATTTGCATTGCATTATGTGACCATAAATTACCTCGGCAAAGGTGCATTGTTAGCTCTTTGTCTTGTGCCTACAGCAGCATTAATTTTTTCAATATTGACCGGCACACCTAATGCAATCTGAAAATAATATAGTTATTTATATTATAGACAAATCTATGAATATATTTTTTGTATTAAGTTTACGAGATATAACTAATTTTTAATTTTCAATCCTTAAGAAACATTTTTAAAATTAAATATTATGTGTATTTGGATCATGGTATTTGGAATAATAATTAACACTCAAATATGTAAAGTCGACATTGCTTTACTTAAATGTAATTATTAAAAAAAAAAAAAACCATTTTATAAAAATTGATCATACTGACAAGGGTTGTGTAAAGACAAAAAAAACTGAATCATGGCTCGATAAGAAATCATAAATCCAAATTTGCTATTTACATATGTACTTTGAAGAGATTCAATAATGAAAATGTGTTAAACTTATGTATATTAAATAAAAAGCTTATTATTTTTAACATTAATATGACAAAAAAATGTACAACTCACAAAAACGTTGACAACTGCAGTGGCGCCACAAGCAGATGTGCCTATTTGTGTGACCTGCCGCTCACAAGCTTCACGTTCTGACCAAACCATGCACCGCGGAGGTTCTACACATCCACTATCGCATTCATTACTGGATGATGCACCATGTTCTTGACTCTGTGATTAAAATTGCTTTGTGAGCTACATTTTGTTACAGCAATATTAGTAGTATAGTTGAAGCATGAATGGGTCGGCTCGACCGGGGAAGGACCACGCTCTCACAGAATACCAGCGTAAAATAGCAGGTTAATGCTGCTGTTTTGTATGGTGAGTGTAGAGAACTGGAGACCCTTTTTACTGGAAAAGAGGCATTCCATCTTAGTCTCCATCGGTTGTCAGTTCTTCGAGCTATATGGCCGGCCCATTGCCACTTCAGCTTACTAATCCGTTGGGCTATGTCGGTAACTCTGGTTCTTCTGCGGATATCCTCATTTCTAAGTTTATCACGCAGAGAAACTCCGAGCATAGCCCTCTCCACAGCTCGCTGAGCAACCTTGAGCTTCCTCATTCGGCCAGCAGTGAAGGGCCACATCTCAGCTGCAGCACCTCAATCAAATGCTTATTAGCCATTGGACAATTAAATTAATTTTTTGTTTACCATATAGTCACCAATTTATTATTTCTGTTGTTTTTTTTTTTTAATTTTATTAAAAAGTTATCTCTACTTTAGTTCTCTCATTATCTTGGAAACATAAATTCATTTATTTATTAACTAATTCAAACAAGAGCTGCAAATTATATTTAGCATTTGAGTCAAATAATTTCTTTATAATATTTTATATGGATTAATTACTTACAATATTAGCATCATCATGACTCTCCACATCAGAACAAGTCTTCTCAATCATTAACCTTTTTGCCATAGTGATGTGATATAATGCTGACGACAAATTGGCTGAATCAAGTGCTGGTCTTTCACCTTGATTTATTTGGTATGCATGTGGTCCATCTTGCTGTTCCTCTTCATCTGAAACATATTAATTTATTATAAGAGAAACTCCCTCCTTAAAACAGCTTTGGAAAGAAAATTATGTTTGGTGTAGTGTAGTAAACAATGTTTATAATCTACATGCAATCTACTAAGATCAATAATCAAATACTTATAGTCGAAAAACCAGATTTAAAGTTTTCCTAGGACATTTATCTTTATATGTACATATAATTATTCTGTATGTGTGTTAGCCACTGAACTTCTAAACGGCTGGACCGATTTTGATGAATTTTTAAGTTTTATATAAATTACCATTTGAGTGAGTTGGGTGTAAAAAGTAAGGTCTCTCGACTTGTATTCTAGTATAATAGTATAGTAGTAATGGATGCTTGTACTCTTCCATGCATCAAATTCTGCTTAGCAAACTATTTTTCCTTCCTTTCTTTAATTCATAACTTGCCTCTAGACCTTTCTTTGACAATTCTTCTCCACCCACAAGGTCCTCATTTTAAAATGACAGTAAAATTTAAAAGTCTGGTAATAGATTTTTTGCATTAGAATATAAACTGGTAGACATGAGAAGAATATAGAACGAAAAGTGAATGCAAACCAGAAAGTAAATTGGGCTCTTCACTCTATAGTGGAAAGTCAGGATGTGTCAAAAATGACATATATGGCACTTTACAATCTTAATAGATAGTAGTGAAAGTTGAGTGTGGCAGAAGAAGCATGAGAGTCGAATTAATGCTTTAGTAATACAAACATGAAGTATGTTGGGTGTGATTCTGAATAATAAGGCAAAAAATTGTGAGCAATAATAAGAACAGTATTGTTTGCAAGGTGTTCTGATCAGAATTAGAAAAAAAAGCTGCGTCGGTTATTATATATATATATATATATATATATATATATATATATATATATATATATATTAAATAGAATAATATTAAATATATATTTACATAATAAGGGACATATTTTTTCTGTATTTGTTTTATACACTAAACAAGCAAATTTTTTCCCATATTCTAAACAAACAAAATATCAGATTTAATATCAGATGTAAATTTTATTTAATACTTTCTCAGTTTATTTTAGGTTTTATAAGTAAATATGCTGCTATACTCACAATTCAATACCTCCCTTGGAGATACCAAATCTCCATTGTACACATGTAGGCTAGAAGACGAAGAACTTGGCAAACTAGACATTGTCCGTTTCACTAAAAACTGTTCACCTCTAAAATTTGTATGTGTAATATATGGCCCATATTCTTGGTGCGTTGTTACTTCTTCTTGAACATTACTTTGGGACATATCTAGACCACGACTTGTTGATGGCACATTGAAATAATGTGGTTCTGGTTCATTAAGGTTAGCTGAACTAGTAGACCCAGAAGGTTGAGAATTATGCATCACTCCCGGTAAATACTCGGGTGTTGTTCCCCTAATAGCCGGTTCATTTTCTTCAGGCATACAATTTCCAGCATCCAAATCAGCATCAGGAGTTGATTCATCACCAGTATCAACTTCACAAGAAGGCCCTGGGTCAAAATCCATTTCCAAAAAGTCCATATCAGGACTTGATGCTCTTGAGCCTTGTTCTCTAGATGCTCCCTGCTGAGGAACTGGATAGTTAGGAAGTAATGGCAAATGTCTATCCAATGGCAATCCCATATCAAGGCTAAAAAATGAGCTTGGTAGATCCGCCAAATGCTCACCACCTCTGTATGTGTAAATACAACCATCTTCTGAGCCCAATGAATAATCATCATTTCCAGTATCACTGGAACTATCATCAGCATCAATGTTTGGCCTACTTAGTTTAAGTGTAGATGGCCTTTTCCTATTTTCCCTGCAATCAGTGTTTTCAGCATTGTCAAAGGATTTACTTGTACCACTTGTTGAAGGACCTTTATTAACAATTATGTTACCAGTTCGATTTCCCACTTTATCCAAACACAGTTTGTTCCTTTGACAGATATATTTGTCTTGATTAATATCTAAACCATTTTCACATTCTTTTGATTCCACCTTACTAGTACTAGGTATTTCAACATCATAGAATTTATTGCTGGTTATATTATTTATTAGCTTTTGATTTCCTCCGCTTGTAACACCAATGCTGTCATTCTGTGAATAATTATCATTTGATCGACAATTTTTTCCTTCACAATCATCATTCTGTGATGACTCAAAACATATTGTTCGAGATCCATTTACATCTGGAGCAAAACTACTTTGGTGTGACATTGATGTAAACACATTATCAGGTACGTCACTTTGGTCCCTAGGCTTAGAAATACCTTTGATATCCTTACTTTCTTTTTCTAGTTCTAGTGCTATATTATTTTTTACAGATTTAGCCTCGTCTAAAGAATCCATTATTACAAATATAGTAACTTTTTAATCGTCGGCATTGTACTCTTTAAGGTTAATAGTTATGTTTAAATAACTTAAATATCGGACATAAATTATTACGGTAAACTCTGTAAATAACCCACGAGACAACTTTAATCATAAAGAACTTTCATTCACGTTAAATATATTACATTTATTTTTATTGAATAATAACAAACCCATATACCCATAGAGCAGTATAATTGACAGCATGACAGGTTGCAATAGGCTTGACTAAAAATATCGTTATATCGAAATAACGATATTTTATTCCAAATTTATCGATATATATCGTTGATATTTTTAGTCGAGATATATCAATCAATATTTCTTTAAGAGTATCGAATTCGTATCAATTTCGATATATTTAATAACACAACTCTGGTTTTGTATTTAATGTTAGTAGACACTCCGTGCATGCATGCATCATCGCACATCGTTTATTTAAAAAAATCCCGTCACTAGAGATGTGACTAATATATTCGTATTAGGTATATGTAATAGTTATACGGCAGAACTTTCATATTAAGTAATACGAATGTTCTCATTAACGTGGTTAATATATAAAACATAAACACTCACGCCTGTCACCCAGAGGGGTAGGCAGAGATTACGGACTTCCATTTGACACGATCCTGACACACCTCTCTCGCTTCCTCCACATCCATATACCTACGCATACACGCTCGTCGGTTAAAGGTACTCTTGATTTGGCCCATTTTGAATATATCGCCAATTTGGTCGATAAACTTTCGCCTAGGGCGACCCTTCCCGACTATGCCGTTCACCTCTGCAACATAAATTTACTTTGTCACTCTTTCCTCATTCATTCTTTCTACATGGTCAAACCACCGAAGCATTCCTTTCTTAATCCTGGTCACAATATCATCTTGCAAACCACACTCTTCTCTTATTAAACAATTTCTCACTCTGTCATTCAGCTTAATCCCTAACATACTCCTTAATGACCGCATTTCTACAGCATTAATTCTACTCTCATGCTTCTTCTGCCACACCCAACTTTCACTACCATACATTAAAGTAGGTACTAACACAGCATTGTGAATTGCCATACGTGCCTTTTTGGACACATTCTGACTTTTCACAATAGAGTGTAGAGCCCCATTCACTCTATTTCCTGCATTCACTCGTCGTTCTATATCCTTATCATATCTACCATCCCTGCTAAACACACATTCCAAATATACAAACTCATCTACTTGCTCTACCAACTCCCCTTCTATTCTTATTTCACATATCGTTTTACTTTCTTCTCTTTCAAAAACCATAACTTTCGTCTTACTTGCGTTCACTTTCATTCCCTTTTCTTTTAATGTCCTGTTCATTAATGTAACCATCATTTGCAACTCGGCTGCCGACGACGCAAGTATGACTTGATCATCGGCGTACAAAAGGCATTTGACGGTTAACTCACCCATTCTTAACCCGCATTCTTCTACTTTCAAATTTTCCAAACAACTGTCCATAAATAGGTTGAACAACCACGGGGAAGCCACACAGCCCTGTCTGACACCTTTATGGATGTCAAACCAGTCCGAGTAGGCCCCGTTGATCCTGACAAAAGCACTAGAGTCCCTATATAGAGACTTCAATGCCTGTATCAGACCAGCGCTCAACCCAAATGAGTTCAGTGTTTGCCATAACACATCCCTGTCCACTCTGTCATAAGCCTTCTCCAAGTCCATGAACGCACAAAAAACTTTTTGTTTTTTGGCCAAAAACTTCTCGGCGATCATGCGCATGGAAAAGACCTGATCCGTACATCCCATTCCCTTTCTAAATCCCGCTTGCACATCAAATTTTTCCGTCAGTTTCTTTCATAACTCTTTCAATTAGTACCTTAGCATACAGTTTTCCCACAATGCTAAGAAGGCTGATACCACGGTAGTTTTTACAGTCCTGCTGTGATCCTTTTCCCTTATATATTGGGACTATCACGGCTTTGCACCAGTCTCCCGGTACCCGCTTAAGTTCCCAACATAAATTAAACAAGGTGTACAGCAGGTCTGCCACCACTCCTATATATATATATATATATATATATATATATATATATATATATATATATATATATATATATATATATATATATATATATATATATCAACTGTAAAATAAACAGTTAAAAAAAAAAAACAAATTTATTAAATTAATAAAATTACCATATTCCAGTACATTCAAAACAATTTATGATTGATTACTTACCTATTTTTATCTTAACTTAGCCGTATTTATGCCATCTAATGTGTTCTTTACGTACCACATTGAGAGTCAATCAATTTTTGTTTGATAAAATGACGTACCCTATAGAATGAAGTAGATGACGGTTTACAAAGAAATTCTAATGAAAATATTCTTTAAAAACACCTATACATGTATATGTGTACTCTTTTAATTTCTTAATACATTAAAATTTAGACTAAATATGTCTAAAAAAAAGGATTGTAACAATTATTTGCAATAAAATTAAACTTACATCCATTATTTTATACTCAACTCGTGGTTGCAGATTATCATATTAAATAAATCGTTTGCCGTTAAATCATTAATAGGTGTAACGCTATTGGCTGAATTCATTAGTGGTTGATGTTAATTTTATGTACTTTGTTGTTACGCTATTGGCAGAAATATTAGTTGGTATTAAATTAAACGAAGCGCGTCAGTTAATTATCATTTTGTTAATTTACATTTTGATCAAAACGTTACAAGGTATTTATATAAAAAGATAGAAAAATAAACACAAGGAAAGTGAATTAAGATTTAGTGAATGTTTTTTTCATTATTTAATGGAGTGTTCAAATATAAGATTTTAGTTACGAGTTTAATTTTCACCTTTTATGATTCCGAGACGTAACAAACAGCTATGTTGAAAAATGTATCGGAGGCGAAAAAATTGCAATATTTAATGTTTCTGAACCTTAATAAATACATACATACATACATAATACGCGTCACGCAGAGGGGTAGGCAGAGACTACGGACTTCCATTTGGCGAGATCCTGACACACCTCTCTCGCCTCCTCTACATCCATATATCTACGCACAAACGCTCGTCGGTTAAGGGTACTCCTAATCTGACCCATTTTCAACGTATAGCCGATTTGGTCGATAAATCTTCGTCTAGGTCGTCCCTTCTCGACTCTGCCGTTACACCAATAAAACGTTTGTTGTTACGTTGACATTAATATAATATAACTAATAATCATATTTACTCAATAAAAGAATCAATACAAAAAAAATTGAGAGCCAGAAAATATAAAACTTTTATACTAATTGTAAACATGACGGCTCCGTGGCGCAGTGGCTTAGCAATCAGTTGTTGCGCTGGGGGCCGCGGGTTCAAATCCCGCACGGAACAAGTATTTGTATGACCTACAAATAATTGTTCCGGGTCTGGATGTTTCTCCTTGTGCAATTTATGTTATTAAACTGCCTCCACAACACAGGAGAAAATCCTAGTGTGGAGGTTTTTAAAAAAAAATACCAAATAACCATTGTAAATAATCAACATTATACTGTAAATTATAATATAACGTAAATTTTGATTTTTTAATTAATGAACTTTTAAATACGCTTAGCTTAATAAGAATTTTTAATTCTAAAGAGTCCTGAAACTATTAAAAAAAAAGAAAAAATGTTTATTCGACTAAAATTTCATGCGTAAAATTATAAGCAATAAAATTAACATCAACTTATTAAAAATTCAATACAAAAGTAAGAAATATTTTTAACTGTTAATTTTATCTGTTAAAAAAATTAACAAATAACTTTTAACAAAAAACTAAATTTAACCATTAACGCCATGTCTAGTGCTCATATTAGATTACTCAATAATACCCAGTCCATTAATAGTTCCTGTGAGCGACGAATGCGACGTTTTTCATGCATTGTACCTACCTATTCTTTGTGGCTGCGCGACGCAAGAAAGTGAAGCAGTTGATCTTCTTGAATGTAAATAAGAAAAGAACTGAAGTCCTTAGTATTTTATATAAAATTAGAATAAAATTTTATAAACATATAAAAATATTTAAAAAAATATTTAAGATATAGCACATAAAAGACATAAAAATGTATAAATGTGTTAAAAGAATCAAGTTAATGTAAAATAAGGAATCATTGTAAATACATACATACATATAATCACGCCTCTTTTCAGTAGGGGTAGGCAGAGACCACTTCTTTCCACTTGCTACGATCCTTACATACTTATTTCGCTTCGTTCACTTTCATTATTTCCTTCATACGTGCTCTTTGGTTTAGGGTACTCTTGACCTGGCCTTTTTTCAAGACGTCCCTGATTTGGTCTAGAAACATCCGCCTAGGTCTACCCCTTCTAACACTTTCATTCACACTCACCTTATACACTTTTTTCGTCAACTGTTCATTCATTTTCTTGACATGGCCAAACCACCCCAGCATGCCTCATGGTAAATATGGTGATAAATTTTGTAAAATGTCCAACTTTTGTTGACAGTCCTAAGCCTGTTAAAGTATGGAGGCAATTTTAATCATTCAGCTAATTGAGCTAAATATATAATCCGATAACGGTTCAATATGCTGTAGCTATATTAGTAGTATAGTTGTAGCACGAATAGGTCGGCTCGACCGAGGAAGTACCACGTTCTCACCATAGACTTAGGATATACTGGCGCTCTCACAGAATGCCAGCGTAAAATGATAGCTTGACATTGCTGTGGTTCGTATGGTGAGTGTAGAGACCTGAAAGCCTATTTTACTGGAAAAGAGGCATTCCATCTTAGTACTCACGGGTGACGATGCATCTGCATTTTGATTCTTTATCTATACAAATAAATAAAATTGATGTGTCTGTTTGTAATGTCAAAATTAGTTTTTTACTAAATGCATATGAAAGTAAATACGGTACTTAATACTAAAATACAGTTTTTTAAAATTTTGTCTGTCTTTTTTTTATAGAATAGGGTGACAAACGAGCACACAGTCCA